GTGTATATAATAATCCGGCCACTCGGTGTATATAATAATCCGGCCACTCAGTGTATATAATAATCCGGCCACTCGGTGTATATAATAATCCGGCCACTCAGTGTATATAATAATCCGGCCACTCGGTGTATATAATAATCCGGCCACTCAGTGTATATAATAATCCGGCCACTCGGTGTATAAAATAATCCGGCCACTCGGTGTATATAATAATCCGGCCACTCAGTGTATAAGCAGGAAACAAGAAGAGGATTCAAGTCACATCAAGACCGGTTTTGATTGGATACAGCCCAATGTAGCAGCTACGTAGCGCGACAATATGCGCACTGTAGCTCAATGTCTCTCAAAGTCGCTCAGCTCACATCAGCGCTGAAAAAGCGCTTTTTCTTATGTAGCTGAGTGTGAATGGGGTCTTATCGTTTCTTTTGGGAGATCATGTGATAGGAGATTGTGGGGAGACGGAGCAGTCTTACTCACCCTTTATATCACTGGCTGGCATTTGATGGATTAAAGGAGAACTACGGGGTAAGGGCTTTCCCCCATAGTTCTCGTAGCCTCAGTATATAGGGAGCTACAGCTCGCGGTATACTGAGACGCCGCAGCTGAAGCAGCCAGCTGCGTGACTGACAGCTGGCTCTGCCTATCTAGAGGCTGTACCCGCCCCCTCCCCCATCCGTTCCGCCAGTCAGCCCTCCCCTGTCACTGCAGAGAGCTGTGACAGGATCGAGAGGTGAGCGAACGCCGGTATGTGTTCACTCACTTCCCGATCTACTGAGCCGACCTGTCACAGTCTCATTGTCACAGGTCGGCTAGAACTATGAGGGGAGCGAAAAGCCCCCCCCCCCCCTCCTCCCCCCTCATAGTTCTCCTTTAAAATAAAAATTGTCTTTCCAAGTGATATCAGAATGTTGAAGTTTATAAGAGATTTTAGTGGTTGGGTTTCATTCACTTTAACAAACTTCACTTCAGTTCTTTGACTTGCAGTGCTGGGGGTTCATTTCCATATGTATCCTTCCTGTGTGCACAGCTCTGTACACCCCAAAATCCTTTAAGGGGTCATCCATAGCAGATATGGTGGTCAGCAATGATCAACACAAGGAGGCTGAGAGAACAATTGTCCTCCATGCTCTGTTCACACCTTACAAGTGAATGTCTGTGTGATTTGTAAAGCTGCGGCATGTCTACATTTTTATGCACCAATGATGTCACAATGCACATCAGCGCATCACAACATGCTGTGCACACAGTTTTCTAACTTGTTAAATAAGTAAATTCTGCCATGCGTTGTAACAACTGATTGAGAGATCCTAAATTGTCGACGCCTGAGCTGCATTTCTCTGTTAATTGGGGTCATTTATCTTCTTTGTTTTGGATGAAAACTTTTAGTTTTGGGTGGTTAGAACGCATCAGACAGACTGCAGAGAGAGTAAATCCGGCCCCGACTGGATGACCTCCTGCGTATCAAACCCGGAGAGATGGGCCCATCCCAAATATTCCTCTCTGACTAATCTTCTCTGTGCAGGGCACACTGGAGGACCAGATCATCCAGGCCAACCCCCTACTGGAGGCCTTCGGCAATGCCAAGACTATCAGGAATGATAATTCATCCCGCTTTGTGAGTGTTATCTGTGTCGTTATTATATGTTGCATTGTCGCTCTGCGTCGGTGTTCTGGGTTTCCTTTTCCTGAATGGTGTGTGATTGCTGCGAGCTGCCGAGGTTTGGGCACATTGTGAATGGTTGTGTCTGTGTTTAGGAAATGTATGTTGTAGGCATGGGCTGAATACAAACAGAGGGGCGCGCTCCACAATGTGCAGAACTGAATGACTAATTGTAAACAACAGCTCATTCAGGGCTCGAATCATTCATCACAAACATGACCTATAGGGATCAGGCTGCACCTAACCCTATCTTACCCTAGGGGAGAGTAAAGTTTACAATTATAGGTTAGCATTTACCCAAAGATTAGGGTCGGGGGTTAATCCATGGATTAGAATTGGGTTGTTTGGGTTATGGTTAGGGGCTGAGTTAGGACTATGGTTAAGATTAAAGGAGAACTATGAGGTGAGTGAATGGCATTCATCCTCTTAGTTAGAGCCGACGTGTGACATTGAAACTGTTACAGGTCGGCTCTATTACATACCGCCGGTCACTTACTTCCCGATCCTCTCCCTGCAGAGAGCGGTCACTGTTAGTCTCCGCTCCCCAACTTCCCCTCTCCGATCCTCCAGTGCTGATTGGAGGGACAGATGGGGGAGGGGACGGGCATAGCTGGCTCTTACTTTAGATGAATAGAGCCAGCAGGGTGGATTTCAACTGTATTGTTGGGATCTGTCCCAGCTGGGGGTTGGATTGAGTTGAGTTATGGTTAGAGGTTGGATTGAGTTGAGTTATGGTGAGAGGTTGGGTTGAGTTGGGTTATGGTTAGAGGTTGGATTGAATTGAGTTATGGTCAGAGGTTGGATTGAGTAGAGTTATGGTTAGAGGTTGGATTGAGTTGAGTTATGGTTAGAGGTTGGATTGAGTTGGGTTATGGTTAGAGGTTGGATTGAGTTGAGTTATGGTTAGAGGTTGGATTGAGTTGGGTTATGGTTAGAGGTTGGATTGAGTTGAGTTATGGTTAGAGGTTGGATTGAGTTGAGTTATGGTTAGAGGTTGGATTGAGTTGGGTTATGGTTAGGGGTTGAATTGAGTTGAGTTATGGTTAGAGGTTGGATTGAGTTGGGTTATGGTTAGAGGTTGG